AATAAAAACGTTTTCTGCTGAAGAATCTAATAATTTCGTTCAATTCAGATTAACACAATCCAGATGGTTAGTTATACAATTTAACAACTAAGTGGACAGATTACAACACTCGATTGCTATACCATAATTTCATAAGGTTAGTTTAACTCCGAAAATACCGACTTTATTAGTATTGTCAGTATGGGATAGTAGTATTTCATTTGAATCATGAACCCATGTTAGACAACCATTGAGAACCTAAAGGGACTGGATAATCCTTTCGTCCTAGTATAGGACTCGTCAGATGTGCACATCCACGCCTCTGAAAGCGTGAACCGAAACCAAGACCTTCAGTATCGCGTGTGAACACTTGACTTCCAGACCATTGTGTCACTATCAATCAGTGGCAATTTGTAACTTCAGTCAATCCACGATACTGCGCGACCATCTTCAATCGCCTTCTGTGGGTAGCTGCCTCATACCCGTAAACATGAACTATTGGTTGTTGGTATTTGTATTTTCACTTAGAATGAACTAATTTAATGTATCTTTTCTAGTTATTTAAGTACAATGATGTTTACTGACTCGATTATCTTATCTCAAAACATGGGGACCAACGTTTTATTCTCATTTCATTACCTTTGAAAGAGAGCTGTGTAGTAATTGTTCAATCCATTTAATCGCATTAGATCCTTATTGACGATATTCCATTTATTGAATCACCCTTAACACAAAACATATCAAATACTAATAAACTATATTAAGGAGAATTAACCAGAAAATGATTTGAACCAACAGGTTAGTAGTTGAGATTTAAATACATTTAGGCACTAAACTATCACTCCATGGATTAGATTCTCTTAACTGAACTACCCTCATTTCATAATTAATAAGCATGTGAATCATATGGTATTTCTATCACTTTAAACTGATTAATGGAACTTATTTACTGCTGTAAGTGACATCAAATTATTCATGTCATTCAATAACACTAAATATAATTAAATGAATTGTAGTGTCGGTTATTATGTTAAGTCCATATACTTTATTCTAGCTTTCGAACAGCCCATTCTATTCATTCTTCTTGAGTCACGTTCTGACCTCATTATTAATTATTCGCTTATCAATCTTGACAGTTTTTATATGAACGTGTAGATGTGTGTACATTTCTTATCCCATTGCTCATCACATGTCTGTAACTTACTTTTGTGTAATTATAAATATTGATTAACGCTTGGTTAAATGGAATTTGGCTTACCCACCACCTCCACTACGCGATTTAAGTCGATGATTATATACGAGGATAGGTGATAACAAACATTGATACGATCTAATTGAAGTCAGATCCACGGGCCACTAAAGTGGAGAGCCCTTTCGACCGCATCGTTCGATCTAAATGACGACAAAATTCAAGGACCTCACTAAAGAATATTATATGTTAACATTAAGAAATGGAAAACTCATATGTTAGCTAAAATAAGATTTTGTGATAGGTTAATAAGTGATGATAGACATACTCAGCCGCTCTAAATATAGAAGATTATCTTACAGGTAAAAACTGACTTCTCTGTGAACTCTAACCGTATTTCACTCTGCGTTGACAGCTTATAATTTATAAACTGTTGTTTGGTCTAATCTAGTTCTTAATCAAGAAGTTGGATAACTGAAACAAGTATGCCACATGACCGAGTATAATTTGATTGAGCCCCTGGGCTATTTAATTCAACATCTAGTGCTCAGTGAAAACAATAATACTAATTGTTAAGCTTGTGTTATCTAACTACATTCACTACCTTTCCAATCCTCTTTGTATATTACATTATACTACTTACTAATCATTAAGTAACCAGCTTTAATTCTTATAACTTAATTGCATAATATTTTCAAGTACTTATATAAACAGCTAACATTCAGTTTAGTTATTAATGAAGCTGTATCTTCTTAACATTTATAACAGTTCCCAAATTTCGTGTTCTTTCCTTTCATTTTGATAATATATCTCTTAATTTTGACACAGCTATTAGCTGTTGTCGTATTACTTATTTACTTACTTACGCCTGTTACTCCTAATGGAGCATAGGCCGCTGACCAGCATTCTCCAACCCACTCTGTCCTCCGCCTTCTTTTCTAATTCCATCCAATTGTTATTCATTTTTTTCATTTCCTGGCATAATGTGTTATTTCGTCTTCCTCTCCTACTTTGGCTTTGAGGATTCCAAGTGAGGGCTTGTCTTGTGACGCAGTTGTGTGCTTTCCTCAATGCGTGTCCTATCCACTTCCAGCGCTTCTTCCTGATTTCTTCCTCCACTGGGATCTGGTTTGTTCTCTCCCACAGTAGGTTGTTGCTAATAGTGTCGGGCCAACGGATCCGAAGTATTTTGCGTAGACAACTGTTAATAAACACCTGTATTTTCCGGATGATGGCTTTCGTAGTTCTCCAGCTTTCCGCCCCACACAATAGAACTGTCTTGACATTTGTATTGAAAATCCTGACCTTGGTGTTGTGTTGTCGTATACCTTAGGTTATTTGTTGTTAACAACTTGAAGGAAACACTATTCTCTAACTGGACAAGAACTGGATAGATACAACAGACGTATAACGAATAAAGATTTGCAATGTATTCTATATATTCTTTCATTGTCATGTTTTACACATCATATAATTGTGTCATCAAAATCTCCGACCATGAGAAATCAATCTTAAACAGTCTTTATTCAAAACAAACAAGTGAAATTAAAAAATATAGCACACAGAACGACAGTCTATGTAAGAGTATAAAACAACTACGATGAATTTTAGTTAGATAAAAAGCACTCTTTGTAAATGACTATTTGGTGGCCCGAGATCTGACTCCAGTGATGTCGTTTCGGATTACTGTTGATATATATATATATCATCAGTCCTCGTATGTAAATATCGACTTAGATTGCGTTAGTGAGTAACGGAATTAAATAAGTCAAATACGAAAATGGATTTCCCAATACATATATTTTGTACAATCTTCAATCCAGACAAAATATTAGAGGATCGAAGAGAAAAGAGAGAAGCGAAACGAAACAACGCGCAGTGAAGATAGCGAGTAAGCCAACTCCATTTAACCAAGCGTTAATCAATATTTATAGTCACACAAAAATAAGCTACAGACATGTGATAGATGGGATAAGAAGGGCACACATATACGCTTACATAAAAACAGTCAAGATTGGTAAGCGAATAATTAACATGGTCAAAATATGACCGAATAGATTGGCCAGTCCAGAAGCTAGAATAAGGTATACGGGCTTAACATAGTAAGCGACACTACAAGTACATAGTGGAAATTAAACATTAGTATCATAAAGATTAGACAGATTTTATATAATTAGTAAATCTATTGAAGTCTTCTACAGGTTATTTTGTCTGTAAATCGAAGAAACAACAATATAAAAATCTGTCCATATAAGCATAGATCATCACCTTTTGTTGAAGTTCTGTAAGGATATAAACAGTTATACGAGATTTTGCACACTGTTCCTGATTAGGCTTTGGGGTTACGACTATAGTTTAGAGTATATAGAGTTAGGAATAAAAATCTTATAGTCAAACGCACATTTCTAGCCATAACACAGTATTAAATATGCATCTTAACATCCCCGTTTGTTCGAAGAATGAATAACACACAAATTGATTTGAAACACAATAAACTTGCGACTTCCAACATATCGATTTAATCAACAAAGACTAAACTATTTCTCACGAATTTATATTACATAACAACATTTAACTGATTTTCTGTAACATCTTCCTTGTAAATTAATGTGAATTAAGCAGTAATTTTTCTTCAGTGCTAACAAACCTTTGCTTGACTAGTGTTCAATACTTAATTTAAACTATTTGGTTCGAAAGTGGAATGACTTAGCTGAGGATAAACACATACAGTTAGTAGTTAACATCATAGAATGATCTTAGTTAAACGACTAATAAATATCAGGAAGCACTGAACAGCTGTTTCCTTTGAGTATGGGACGTTTTAACAGTGCACATTCACAATCCCCTCCCTATTAAGGATTGAATTCATGACCTTCGTTTTTTGCAAATAAACGCATAATCTCTAGACTACTGGGTCAGCATTTATTGGTTTAACTGTTCTTAAGTTCATTTTATCTGACGCTTTGATTTGAACATTTTGGTTGCTCGTTATACACTTTTATTCTAACTAGTATAGTGGAAAAACACCCAAGTTTATTTCAAAATATTCTTGAATCTAAATTGTGTTTTCTTATAATTTCGATTGATGTATGTTGTTAGTTACTGTATAGCATGCGTACAAAGTTGAGATGATACACAACAAAACCAGTCTCAATAAGAGTTGACATACAGAAGACTGAATACCAAAAGAGCAAATATCCATTCTAACTCTGGACAATTTAGATTGCCTTCAGATTCTCTTCACTCTTTTATATAAACATTCAACATCAAAAACAAACCTTATACATCCACCCACTCCATAAAAATGTTAGTTACACTACAAGCTATATTTATTTAAACACATAAACATTGATACAAGGAGGCACCAAATATATATGGGGCACGCTTTGTCATTCGATTTGTTTGGGGGATGGAATACTGTCCGGATGTCCAAACTAAAGTAGGTGGTTTTCTTAGGAGGCCACACTCGGAGCCTCTGACCTAAAGGTCTAACCCACAAGGTAGTGGAGTAGTCCCATGGTAGCCGGTAACCAACAATAAGGTCATACGCCAGGATCTTGGAGCCCATGTGCACTATTGGTTTGTAATCAGGGTTTTCCAATCCCCTAAGTAGATCTTCTATATCCACCAACCCGGTTAAAGAGCTGGACATTCGCTTCCGTTCTCTCAATCTCATAAACGACTATCCGGTCTCTTAAAGGCAGTGAGTAGAACCTTCATTGCAGTGGTTGTATACACGTGGTTATATGAGAGTATTTTGAGAGAGCTGACTCTGCCTACCCTAGACAGTATCAGGGCATTTGGGGGCATACTATAAACTAAGAACAAATAATTATTCAAATAAGTTTATTTTACACTACAATATTCTCCTCAAAATACGGAAAACTTCCCAAATATAAACCAAGAGCTAATTGTCTACCACGTAAACAATATGTTTCAATATGTACATTAAGATATTGTTTACAAGAACAACAATCAGCAATATATTCACAAGTCCCTTGGTTATCACCTATTGGCCAACTCATTTGAATCAACTGACCAATAGACGAATTTCTTGGTAGATATATTAAAATTTTGTTACAAATATGTCTTGAAATATTTAATGCTTTATTAAGAAAGAGAATATCTTCAAGATTTTTTATAGGTTCCATTTCTTTCAAATCATATAACCAATGTTTCCGTTTACGTTGATTCCAACTAGACGAGCCAGGTGGAAAAATGTTCCCAATGTAATCAGGACCACCCCAAGGTGGTGACATGAATATGATATCGATAAGTGAGTTAAATGTAGAATTAGTTGGCTTCTCTAAAGTTTCATTTTCATTCAACTCTGGGTTCACTTCTAATGTGGTCTCTGTATTAGCTAATAAATGTGATGATGAACTCTGATGTTCAGATAGATTGAAGTCGGGTTTCAAAATATTATCATCTATATTAATCGATGTTTCGGACGAAAAATCTGCAGATTGTTCATTATTTCCAGATAATAATGTACTTCGGTTATTCTCAGGTGAACGTATAGAAGTTACTTTCAAATGATCACTTTCACATTGATTTTCTAAAGTTCGCACGCTTGTATCATCATTATCAGTTGTAAAACTTGTAGACGACAATCGAACAATTCTTAAACTACTTAAAATTTTTTCAACGTCTCCACAAACAAGCATAATGTTTGACAAAACACCATATATTTGTGCATTAATTTGGAGCATTAATAATCGTGGGAAACAGTTTTCAATGGCTAAAACTAGAATTGAACGAAAACGAAATAAATGAAGTTTCAGAGCAACTTAAAGCAATGACGGGGTTGAACTTTACAAAGTCACATATATGATATCAAGTAATACTGTAGCTCGTTAAGTAGGATAGAACATGCATACTCAATAGTGTTTTGGTTTTTCCTTTAAATTTTTGATAAGTATTGTTTGACAAAATATTAATTCACCTTGTTTGATCATACATACAGTGGCCAATCGTAGAAATCAAATATGGAGTGATAGTTAGGAATATAGTACTTGAATAAATTATAAATTCGTTGAGATAAGTATTACGTTTTGATTATGCTTGTCATATGTCCTATTTGTAGACCGGTGCTAGTTTAGGATAAAAGTTGTGAGAAGTTACAAAGTGATAAGATTATAATACTACATTATGTGATACGAATAATAAAAATAGATTTAGTGAACATAATAAGATGATTAAAATGATGATTAAAAGAACCCAGCTTGGTTCTATAAAGGTAAAAGGAAAGCAGCTAAGAATTCTATACTTCAACACCTAATCGACTGTAACCATTCTACAGATCTATAATTTAATTTTAAGGTTGTTTATATGATTCGTTCAAATCTACCCAGATTTCTTCGTATCCAACTCTTAAAAATAGACGAAGCTCTTACCATCCAGGAGCTTAAACCAGAACTATGCTTACAAAAGAAGTACGTCTTATCGTTACCTTGGCCTTAACTATTTTGATTATATTATTATTATTATTATTATTATTATTATTATTATTATTATTATTATTATTATTACTGCATCCTCCCCTTTACTTATGTCTTATATTCTCATTGTTTTATTCGTAAATACTCATCATATCACCATATTTATTTTTACAACTCTATGACCTTTAATTATTGTAACCAAAACATTTTAATCATCATATTATATTCATTAAATCTATTGTTATTATTCATATTACGTAATCTAGTATTATAACCCCTTTTTACTAACTGTGTTCACATTTCCTCATGGAATTAGTACTTTTAAAAAAACAAAAATTTTCATATATATACGATTGTACAGCTTGATACTAAATTCGTTGAAAAGAGATCCCTTCGCTGAAATTCGTGTTTTTTTAATTTTTAATGTTTAAATGGGAATTATCTGTCAAAACTGATAAGAAGCAAAATGAACTTTATCAGTCCACCAGGGTTGTTGGTACCTGCCTGTATGGTTGCACCATCTGTTTGAGCTGTGCTATTCGGGATGTAAAGACCCTGGATGGCATCTGATTATTCTGAAATCTCAGTCAGTCAGTCAGCTACAAAGTAGGACCAGGCACATATATGCATCGGTCCAATTCGCCATACCTCATTAACACAACAAGATGGACACCGGATTCATTAAAGTAGTTATTTCAGAGGTGGTAATATATAAAAAAGATTGCAATAAGGATATAGTACAGGAAGAAAGAATTAGTTCGTAGAAAGAAAGATATGAAGCAATCTTAATCTCACGGTTTAAGGGAACACAGAGAGTGTATACACCGACGCCATGGTGATCGATTCTGAGCCATGTTACCAAGAGTCTCCAACCATTGGTCACGACAGTCACGCGGACCCAAACCAAATAGTCTGCATCTACCAACATGACTCAGACTAGAAGTTAGTGACTTCAAGCACTGATGCCACGTTTTGGTTTGGCCGCCCCTAACCTTCTCCCAACCATCCCCAACACCGGTTAGCATTGCACGTCGTGGTAATCAGTGTTCAGGCATACGTAACACGCGGCCCAACCATCTCAGTCAATGAAGATTCACAACCTCATCAACTGATTTACCATCATTACCTAATACCCTGCGTCTAACCTCACTATTACTTACCCAGTTATCCCAGCAGACGCCAGTAATATTTCTAAGGCATCCGTGGTCAAATACTAGTAGCTTACGAGTATCTTCTACTCTTAATGGCCATGTTTCGCTGCCTTAAATTAAAACAGAACGGACTGCCGCGCAGTATACTTGTCCTCTTATTGATAGACGGATATCTCGCCTTCCACATAGGTGACGTAAGTTGGCAAAAGCCAAACGAGCTTTTCGAATCCGAGCCGAGATTTTGTCAGACACCGACCCATTAGGGCTGATCAGGCTTCCAAGATAAGTGAAGTTGTCAACGCGTTCGACTACTTCACTCCCTATCCTTAGTTCAGGTGTTGACGCAGACCAGTCCGGTGGCTTAACCATGAATGAGACTTGGTTGGATAATTTTACTCACTTTGTTAATGTGGTATGGAAATCTGAACCGATACACATACGCTGCACATGACTGACTGATACTAACCAAACTTTATTACTTGGTAAAAATCGGAAACAGCGTACAAAATCCTACCTAGAATGTGTATTATCCAGAGCCGGACAGATCAACTACTAAGTGGGATATGAACTAATAAAATAAAAGACTGGTGATAGAATACTTAAGACATTCTGATCAGAAATCAAAAAAGTATATATTCCGGCTATACAATTAAGAACAACAGTTGGTTTGGGCTGTAGAAAAAAGGTCGATCCTGTTTTTTGTGCAAAAAGCTAGAACCGAAAATCTCCATAGTCTTGTTCCACAATTTCAAAATGCGAACCGACTGGATCTTCAACATAAGAGAAAGATTAATTTGCCAGTGATAGATAAAATTAGTCAGATAGTTAATTGTGCAGAAGCAAAACTAGTTGCATCCTGATAAAATACTTTGGTAGTAATTCGGCCTAGTATACTTGTCATTTCGGTTATCTACATAGTCATAGATTTTCACTGAAGTGGTTCAGTTTTGAAAAAACCTCCGACCATGAATACAATGAATTAAACTCAACATAGAATAAGCAGGATTGGGAGGTCAAAAATTCTATATATAAATTTGTTTAGGTTTTAATCAACCAAATTTATCGTTTACTACCAGTCAGTGACAGATACCATCACTAGAAAATTGATTGATATACATAGTTCAATGGACTGGATATCATTTTACACATCGCTGTATGTAATTTACAATTATCCTAGTGTTGGCTCGAAATTTGTATACAAGATTAGTTCTTTGAAATAAATAAAAAGACTGTACAAATATGATTACTTAGTTAACCATCCACTCTTTTCAGCCGAAACATTCAGCGAATGAAATTAACAAATGTTCAACTAGAATAAACCTCTATAATGTATTATAAACCGAAAAGAACCTATTTTAGCAATTGGAACCTTTGACTAATGACAGTAAGAACTGCACGGCTAGTTGTATACGTACAATTTACAAAACTAGTGACAAAAAATGAACTTTAAATTGACCACCTACCAAGTTGACAAGTGCGCGCAAACTGTATAGTATTTCCTCCAACACCCGCAAAAGCATCTACGAGTAAATCACATGAACAAGTTTTCGCCTGGTGACGAGCAATAGTTTCTGGTGTTATGCTGTACCATGCTTCTAGTAGAAAATATGTAATAAAGCAGGAAAATACTAACTTAATCCTCACTTCGAAAATGAACATACAATGAATTTGATTTAGAATCCTTCACACTACAGCAGTTTGTCAATAAACAATATTAGACATTTTTAAAGCAGTTATGGCACAGTTCGTTTGCACTCCTATAAAAATACAACCGCTAAATCCTACGTATAGATGTCCCTCGAAACATGTGGGCGTTAGTGTATAAGTTGAGTTTATGATAATATTCGTTTTCTCCACTAGTATTTATCATGGTCAGACGGGGAATATGGTCCAGATGACCAGACCGACGTACGTCATTTTCAGAGGGTTTATGACACAAGGCAATAGATCACTGTCAGAATATGAACCCTCATGATAGCCAGTGACTAGAATAGATTTGCACACTACTTATTTCCTCAGGTTTCTGGAAGTCATATATAACATTTGTTGGAAATCAGTTTTCTCGATTACCATAGGTAAGTACCATTTTAGTGTCAGATACCCACACATCTGAAACCAGTAAGAAGTTTTAAGTTTTACGTGGCCTTTATCCAACTTACTAATCAAATAATCTTTTGTACTCAGCTTTCCCTCAAAACTTGTGTACTAGAGCTGGTGACCAAATGACTTCCCGAAACGATGTTCAGACCTGAGGCCCAAGGGTTAAAAGTCCAGTGCTTGGAGAACTAAGTCACCACCTAATTTTCATACAACAAAAATGGATTAGATTAATGTTTTCTAGAAAACTCGTGAGAAAAAAGAGAAAGATGCGTGAAACGAAAAATATTCAGTATAACTAATCAATACCCTATAAGTAGAAGCACTAATCCAAGAAAAGGAATGGGTAGCTCTAGAATACATTCTTTGATTATATGAAGTGAGAGAGAACTTAACAAACAACGTCAAATAACGAACATAACGACACTAGAGTTCCATAGTTTACATTTAACAACGGAACAAAGGAACATAAATCTTCATGACAATGTGTTTTTTCTGAACTATTCTCAAAGTAACAAAAATTTTACACTGCACTTTAATTAAGACTAATCTAAAAGCAGATTGGAAGGTAGACATTTCTCAGTATTTTTTCTAAACCTATGAAATAAAAAATGCCAACGGTAAGTTACGTTTTACCCTATGTTGGTTGGGACTGGCCTGCTATTTTTTTAGGTAGAACTAACTGTCCAATGATACTTCTTTTCATCCACTAGAATGTTCAGTATATGGTTATTTCGACAGAAGCATAACAGTAAAGCAAGAATATACTTTCCTGACTAGACGTACATTCAGAAAATATCGTTACAGAGATGAATGATTCTGCATAAGTTAGGCTTCCTATACTAATGTAAAAATTTAACACAGCTGTCTTAGATCTAAGAGACTACATTATTCATTTCCTTGAAAACCGCAAACACAAAACAACTTACCTTCGTCGAGCTGAACACCTTCATCAAACCGTTCAAAAAGATCGTATCTCCGCTTCCAGTATTTTGGTAATACTTTATTGCTATTATAAAGGACTCTGGCACTATAAAGTAATGTCAGAAAACTATAGTACCATACACCTTGTTTCTTTTTCTCAAAACTTCTGTCAAACTGACAGGTGCGAAACGTTGAGATGGAACTGCTATTTCATCATCCGAACTACTAACTTTATTTTTATTAATTTCATTTTCATCATCACTGGATGAAACATCCGATAGTGAGTCGATAACACCTCGTGAATGTAACGCAAACATCGAAAAACGTACGATGCTCAATCCTCAAACATCGAACTTCGTTGCGCAGAAGCAGATAATTTCATTTACCTTGAAATCTGATTTACATCATGTTCGATCAAAACCTAAAGGATAAAAACAGTTTATTATGGAAGAAGAGAAAATGAAATGACATTTAGAGTAGTATACCTCGATATCTTGGAGTTTCTTTGGAATAAAGAGCGGAAGATCTTATTACTATTGTTTTCTGCAGAGAATTATATTGATTATCGATTCGGCCTCAGATTTGTACTCTGGGCGACAGAAACAGAGAAATTTAGTACCTTTGGTTACCTCTAACTGAATGGCTTTATTGAATGAATTTAAAAATGAAAACTATCCGTTTATTTCAGTAAATCGTACTAGGGCTAACTCATTGTATAATGACGGTAGTGGAGGCTAGACCCTGTAGCGGTAAATAAATCCCCAAAATAAATAGCTCTGTAAGTTTTCGACATTGGATGCTGACCACATTAGTTTTAATGGACTTGCCTAGCTGAAGGCGCTCGGTCATGTATCCGCACCAGATCACGAATGGGAACGCCGTGCTCAACATCTACTACATCGCTAGCCAAATCAGATCGGACGATCCTCGATATATTGATGGCCTATCAAATATATCTTCGAACCTCCTCACTTCTGTCTCTTGATGTCACTTGGTGGGTACGATTCTCGATTTTCGAACGGGAAGTTTAGTCCTAACGTGATTTGCATATATCAAACTTTTGCTGTGTTCTTACGCAACAAAAGTACCATTTCAGTTCTAAAAAATCTATCCTGAGCTATACGTTCGGTAGATTACTTTTTTTTTAGTTTCACTATATTTAATAGTTACCTGTGGTTTTGCCTCAGCTTACTATTCGGTTTTTTTTGTTTTTCACGTATAGACTAGTTTCAGTTTATATCACTCGTTTTGTCCATTTTTGTCCGTTTTCAGTGTGCATTTTAGTGTTTTTTTAATAAGGTCTTAAGCTTTTGCAAGCATCTGTAACATAGTTTGCTTCAACACCGTCATGAAAAACTCATGCAAACGTCCGGGATGCCGTTTTGCTGTCACGACTGGCATGCAGTGTGACAACTGCAAAGGTTGGTTTCACGAAGCATGCACAAATCTGACAGCAACTTCTTACAACAAACTCAGCAAGTGAGACCAAAAGTGGGTATGTGTCACGTGCAACACGGACGCAGTAGTCTTGCTGAGTAACATCATTGTCCTACTGACAGGTCTTCGAAACAAGCTGTCAGTTAACTTGGAATACGACAGTAAAAAAACCGATATACAAACAAGAGCGCGCAACGGACTCAAAAATAGGGATGTCGATAGGTATGTCACCGATGGAGCATCCATCAACACTAACGACGACGTGTCGAGGCTCAGTACCATCATTACGTCGACGGTACTAGACTCCCTAGGCAAACTCGGGTCTCCCAGCTCAGGGTCGCTGAACACAACAGTGGTTCCCAAAAACCCTGCAGGCGATTCGACCCACGTTAAGAGAGCCCAAAAGAACCAGGCATCACCGCCTAAGCCGAGCAACCCAAGTGTTTCTGCACGGGAAAATAACTGGTGATTTAGTCGCACAGTCTACCCCCAAGACTGTTCGTCCGGTCAATAAAGAGCCCAAGATTCATAAACACACACTGACCTCCAAAAAACAAGTTATTAAACCTGAACCCATCGTGAAACCTGGTAAATTAACAACAGTTCGTGACGATTCTCTCATTATCATGAACCTCGTCGACAATCCTGACCTTCCTCTCAGTCTGCAGGATAAAAACGACAGGATGCTGTGGGGTGAATTGAACAAGAAGCTCGAACTTCCTAGAATAGAGCCTTTGACGGTCACCCGGCTCACTCGAGGAAAGGATTCTAAGCATCTAAATCACCCGAGGCTTCTCCGAGTAACACTTAAGAATGCTACCGACGTAGAGGACGTCTTGCTAGCAAGTCACTTACTGAAATCAGATGGTAACGTAAGAATATTGCCCGACATACCGTACTCTGAGCGCAATATCATACGAAACGTCCCTAAAGAATCTCGCGAGAAGTTCTTCCGCGGAAGAAACATAATTGTCCAAGGTATACCGGAAAATGCAGACCCTACTCAATCAAATTCTGACATCAGGGAATGGAAATTCATCAAACAGTCCTTGAGGCTCAAACACATACTGACTCAGCATGTGACGAGACTAGCCAAGAAGGACGGTGATCTTAGACCCCGTCTAATGAAGATAACCTTCCCATCTTCCCACATGGCGGCTGCAGTTCTGGAAGCACTTCGTGCTAATAGACGTCGATTGCCACCTGGAATCCACATGCACCCGGATAGGCCATACGAAGTCAGGACTAAGAACAAAGGCAAGTTGGAGCTGACCATTCCACTTGTGGACTGTCTAAACGACAAAAAAACGTGTAAAGGACAGGGCCTACCACCTCGGCAAACCTCATATAGGTGGGCTACCTGTCCATTCACATAAGGTTCATACAGAAAAACAGGACGAAGCTCATGCGTTCCAAATAGAAAGCATAAACTGCTTATATATGAACGCCGCGAGTTTACCAAACAAACTGGATGAACTACGTGAACTTAGCAACGCTAACAAGGCCCATCTGATAGGAATATCTGAAACCTGGATATCTTCTCAGTTCTCGGATCAAGAGTTAGCATTACCTGGGATGACTTTGTTCCGCAACGACAGAAAAATAGGAATTGGGGGCGGAGTAGCCATATACATAAGCTCTTGCTTGAAGGTGCACCAGGTTCACAACCTCGAGTTTAACAATCTTGAGGAATCCATATGGTGCTCTGTAAGGTTGTCTAGTACTTCCAGGTGTCTAGTCGGAGTCATTTACAGGAAGCCAACTGCCGACACCGAGTACGATAGTCGTATGCTGGAAGGACTATCCCGCTCTATCCGTCTCGGTTTCACACACATCCTGATTCTAGGGGACTTTAATCTCCCTAGAGTCAACTTCGCGGAACACACGTACACTGGAGGCGACAACTCAACTGAAGCTCGGTTCTTCAACCTCATCGATAACTTGGGCTTATATGAAAATGTGAGGTCGGCAACTCGTTGGAGAAACAGTCAGACACCATCGCGCTTAGACTGTGTATTCACTAACGAAGAATTCCTAGTCGACAACCTCTCAATCCTGGCTTCTCTGGGAAAGAGCGATCATGCCGTCATAGCCTTCAGTTTTGTCATCAAAACTAAGCTAAGGTATCCCAACAATAATTTGCGATGGAATTTTAAACGGCTGAATGTGCGAGCTCTACATGACCATCTACAACAGGTGGTTTGGGATGTTCACCCTCAAATCGATGTGGATGGTCATTGGGACTTCTTGCTGCACACGCTCTTATGTGCTACAGACCATTCAGTTCCTCAAACGGTTCCCAAAAGCTGCAAGCCACCTACAGTAATCAAGAACCGTACCCTTCGCCTCCTAAGCCGCGAACGGCACTGTTGGGCGGAATACAAACGAACTAATAACGATGGAGCGTATAGGCAATACAAACATATCAGGAACACATGCACGAAGGCTATAAGAGAAGACAGGCTTCAGTACCAAACAAAGCTTATGGACAAATTCGCCTCTAACCCTAGAAGCCTATTCCGTTATGCAGCCTCTCTTCGTCAAGCCAAAACAGGAGTTTCTCAACTGCTAGGTCCTAACGGCCCGACCAACAACGATGGCGACGCCGCTAACCTTCTGGCGGCCCATTACTCTCAAACATTTCAACCGGCTGATATCAACTTTATTGACGACAGTTTCATCTGCAGTTCCACAGGACTTTCTGAAGTGGACCTAAGCGCTGACTTGGTGTTCCGGAAACTGCAGCACTTAAGACTTGACACTTCTCCTGGCCCGGATATGGTTCATCCTGCCATACTGAGGGAGGCAGCCTCAATCCTGGCAACGCCGCTTAGCGTGATGTTTTCACACTCGCTTAGCCGAGGCAAACTACCGGAAAATTGGAAGTTGGCTCACATCACACCAATTTTCAAAGGTGGTCGACGCAATGAACCTTCAAGTTACCGGCCGGTAGCTCTTCTGTCGTTACCTTCAAAACTCATGGAGTCCCTGATATGCGACGGTTTAAATGACTACCTACTGTCCTTAAATTTCTTCTCACCCCAACAGCATGGTTTCAGGAAGGGTTACTCTTGTATAACCAACCTGCTGACTGCGGTGGACAGATGGACAAGCATCCTCGATCGCAAGGGAAAGGTTGATGTCATTTACCTTGATTTCTCAAAAGCTTTTGATAAGGTTAACCACTTGTGTCTTATCAACAAGCTCAAACGACTAGGTATCAAACCACCTCTAATCGACTGGCTTACTTCATACCTAAAAAATCGGCACTTTAAGGTTAGGGTTAATTTCACTTTATCTCAGGCTATGGAATGTCCTAGTGGGGTCCCCCAGGGCTCAGTACTAGGGCCTCTTCTCTTCTTGATCTACATAAACGATCTTCCTCAACAGGTAACGTCAGACTTATTACTTTTTGCCGACGACGTGAAACTTTGGAGAGAGATACGCAACCAAGATGATATACAGGCACTTCAAGAGGATCTGACTCGACTTCAAAGTTGGGCAGACGATAACGGACTTACCTTTAACACTTCTAAGTGTAAAGTAGTCCATCTGCGACATGTCGCAAACTACAGTTACAACTTAGGAAACTCCTCTCTAGTAGTATCCCAAGTCGAAAAAGATTTAGGAGTCCTGGTGCCCCATGACTTAAAGTCTTACGCTAACTGTGACAAAAATGCCTTCCGAGCAAACCTTGCACTGGTAACGTTGAGGCGCATTTTTGGCCAGTTTGACGGAAGAACTTTCCACACAATCTTCAATAGTTTCATCCGTCCCCATTTAGAGTACGGAAACATAGTACTCCCCCCTCACTCCAAAAGGATAAGGTCACTTTGGAGCGTATCCAACGGCGAGCCACGAAATCAGTTCGAGGACTCAAATCCAAGCCTTACGAAGAACGCCTCCGTTCACTAGACCTTT